TTTACTAGCATGTGAAGTGAGTGCAATTGTGCAGTGGTTTAAACATTCTTTAGCGTAGCCCTTCTTTGAAATTGGAAAGAAAACTGACATTTTTCCACCTAAGACAGATGAGTCATATTGGAGAGTTCTGACAAAACATGGTCTACTGGAGAAGAAAATGGCAAATCTTTTCCGCATTCTTGCCTTAAAAACCCCACGAACAGGATAAAAAGGCAAAAAGATAGGACACCAAAAGATAAACTCCCCAGGTCAGTAGGTGTCCAATATGCTAATGGAGAAGAGTAGAGAAATAGCTCCAGAAGAAATGAAGAGGCTGAGCCGAAGTGGAAACAACACCCAGTTATGGATGTTTCTGGTGGTGAAAACAAAGTCTGATGCAGTAAAGAACAATATTACATAGGAACCTAGACTGTTAGGTCCATGAATCGAGGTAAATTAGAAGTGGTCAAACAGGAGATGACAAGAGGGAACATCGACATTTTAGGAGTTCATTGATCTAGTTCATTGATTTAGTTCATCAATGAACTAAAGTTAATAAGGGAATGGGCGAATTTGATTGAGATGACCATTATATCTACTACTGTGGACAAGAATCCCTTAGAAAAAGTGGAGTAGCCACAGTCAACAAAAGAGCCCAAAATACAGTACTTGGGTGCAATCTCAAAATGCCAAAATGATCTCAGTTCATTTCCAAAGCAATACCATTCAATATCACAGTAATCCAAGTCTATGCCCCAACCACTAATGCTGAAGAATTATTGCTGGAGACATATAATAGCCTAGTTAGGAAGTTAGTGAAACTAGTTATCTAACTAGTCTCCTAACTGAGCCCTGCTTCCACCCTTGGCCCTCTGTTACCAACACAGAAGCCTTTAAGATCCTTTTTAAATGGAAGTCACATCAAGTCACTGTAAGAATCAAATCCCTCCAATAGCTCCCCATTTTGATCAACCAAAAGCTAAAGTCCTCATCATTGGAATACAAGGCCCCATCAGATTTCTCTTAACACTTCCTTTTTTCTCTCTGATCCCTACTTCTACTATTCTTCTGGCTCACTGCTTGAGTCACATTGATCTTGCTTTTTCTTGAACAACTGGCATCCTCCTGTCTCAGAAGTCACCCTTCTTGTATTGTTATTTCTGTTGCCTGCAATGTTTATTTCCCACATGGCTTTTCCCCCTCTCCCCATCTTCAAGTCTTTTCCCAAATATCTTTTCAGTAAAACCTCTTGGTCAACTCTATTTAAAATTGTAGCCTACCTCCACTACACCCTGTATCACTTAGCCTGATTTAAATTTTTCCTTAGACTTATTATCTTCTAACGATTATAAATTTAACTTGTTTATTTTGCTTATTGTCTGTCTCCCCCCTCAAGAGTGTATATAGACATCAAGAAATAGGATATTTTTTCTGTTTTATTTTCTGTCATATCCTCAACACTCAAACTAGTCCCCTGAACATAATAGAAAGTCAAATAACTGTCTGTCGAATGAGCTGTTACATATACAAATTTTACCTTAATTTTATCAGTTGCAGTGCAAATACTGAGCCTGAGCACTCTGGAGCCTGGGTACAACTAGAAGGTCCATGTTCTCATCTACTGAGCCTGCACACCACAACTTGAAAATCCGTGCGCCACAAGGAAAGATCCCACGTGGCGAAACTAAGACCTGACACAGCCAAATAAATAATTTTTTTTAAAAAGATAAATCTCCAGATCCAGACAAATACGAATTTAAGAGATCTACGTTAGTTTAGTGGATCATGTAGGCCTAATGGTTATTAACTGAACCGAGGTCATTACCCCTGGGGAATAATGCTGGATGAAGGTGACCATGACTGAGGACTTCATCACTTCATCTCTTGAAGGTTAAGGACATTTCCTAGTCTTGCCTTTACTGAGTCATGGGTGGTGATTTGGAGCAAGAGGCAGATATCAGTCACATATAATTATATCAGTCAGATGTAATTAATCATGAAGTATTCTTAGTGGATACTGGCAACAGGGCCTACTGTACTAACTTGATAATGTTATGGTTTACTAACTAACCATATTACCTGATAAAGTTATTTAATACATCAGAGTCTGCTATTGCATGGACTTCCAAACAGGTCCTGGTCACATGCACTTCTATTTATACCAGAATCCAATGATGCCCATAGTTTAGGTAGAGTTCACAGGGAGCAATGTGGGAGGCCACACCAGTCAAATCAAGTTTCATGATTAGTGGGTTTCAGTTAAGTTCAGCTCGGCTCAGTTCACTAGCTCAGTCATGTCGACCTTTTGCGACCCCATGGACTGTAGGATGCCAGACATCCCTGTCCATCACCAACTCCTGGAGTTTACTTCAACTCATGTCCATTGAGTCAGTGATGCCATCCAACCATCTCATCCTCTGTCATCCCCTTCTCCTCCTGCCTTCAATCTTTCCCAGCATCAGGGTCTTTTCAAATGAGCCAGTTTTTCACATCAGGTGGCCAAAGGATTGGAGTTTCAGCTTCAGCATCAGTCCTTCCAATGAATATTCAGGACTGATTTCCTTTAGGCTGGACTGGTTGGATCTCCTTGCAGTCCAAGGGACTCTCAAGAGTCTTCTCCAACACCATAGTTCAAAAGCATCAATTCTTCAGCACTCAGCTTTCTTTATAGTCCAGCTGTCACATCCATACATGACTACTGGAAAAACCATAACTTTGACTAGATTCACCTTTGTTAGCAAAGTCTTGTCTCTGCTTTTTAATAAGCTGTCTAGGTTGGTCATAACTTTTCGTCCAAGGAGTAAGCATCTTTTAATATCATGGCTGCAGTCACCATCTGCAGTGATTTTGGAGTCCAAAAAAATAAAGTCAGCCACTGTTTCCCCATCTATTTGCCATGAAGTGATGGGACCAGATGCCATGATCTTAGTTTTCTGAATGTTGAGTTTGAAGCCAACTTTTTCATTCTCCTCTTTTGCTTTCATCAAGTGGCTCTTTAGTTCTTCTTTGCTTTCTGCCATAAGGGTGGTGTCATCTGCATAGCTGAGGTTACTGATATTTCTCCTGGCAATCTTGATTCCAGTTTGTGCTTCATCTCACCCAGCATTTCTCATGATGTACTCTGCATATAAGTTAAATAAGCAGGGTGACAGTATATAGCCTTGACTTACTCATTCCCCTATTTAGAACCAGTCTGTTGTTCCATGTCCAGTTCTAATTAGTGGGTTGACAGAGGTCAAGGAAATCTCATCCTGTCAGATTCTTTTGCTTTCCTAGTACCTGGCATGCTCATTCCTTCCTTCTATACTTTGTTTCTTTTTTCCTGAAATATTTGAGAACCCAATTGTAGAGGGCACAGTTGGAGCTAAAGTAGTGAACAAGAGCCAACATAGCCCTTGCCTGGATGGAGCATACATCTAGTTGGAGTGGTAGATATAGCATAAAACAATTATGATATCTATTACCCAGGAAAAGTAGAAGTTGATAAGAAAGTATGTTACCTGGATCTGACCTAGTTTGAGGTATAAGCTATAGCATCTCACAGGAAGTGAGCAGAGATGTGAAGGATGGATAGGAATTTATTAAGCAAAAGAGAGGAGGATCATATGTACAAATGTGGCAGTCTGAGGTAGAAAGAAACATGCTACTTTCAAGAAACTGGAGTATAGGGACTTCCCTGGTGGTCCAGTGGTTAAATATTCACCTTGCAATACAGGAGACATGGGTTCGATCCCTGGTCTAGGAACCATATCCTACATACTGTGGAGCAAAGAAGTCTGTGTGCTATATATGGCGCACCATGACTAGAGAGTCTGTGCACTGCAACTAAGTTCCCACATAACACACAAAGACACCACATGCCGCAACTAAGATCCAATGCAACGAAATTAAAAAAGAAAAAGAAACTATAGAGTATAAAGAATAGGAATGTAGAGAGGAGTAAAATGACTCTCATGTGTGAGATAGGAGATGGTTCTTAGAATGCCTTATAGTCAATGCAAGGAATTTTCTATTTTATCACAAACATAATCTTGTGGGATTTTAAGCAGGAGCCTGACATGATTAGATATAATTAAAACCTGTTTTTTAGGGGAAAAATTTATCCTGGGTATAATTTATAATATTTCTTGGCATATAAAATCTTAGTGGCTGTAGTGCTGTTGATGATAGAAGAGTGAAGGCAGAGACCATTTAAGATTCTAGTTAGACAACTGCTTTGCTAACTGCTCACCAGGCCATTGACTGTCTCCAGTAATAATCTGAAGTGAGATTTCCTAGGGCTATCTTTTAAATCACGTTTTTTCATATATTAGTGTAGTTAGGGAATGATCAGTTGCGAGGATATTGAAATAATCTAGGTAAGCTTGAAGATGCTTGGACTGGAGTCGTAGTGATGAAGATGTGAAGAATGGAAGGATTCTAAAAGAATCAATAAGGCTTGCTGATTAATTGGCTATGAGGTGAGATGGGCTTAATTGGAAGCACAGTTGAGTTTTTACTAGGCTCACGGACAGAGAAAGAACTCATTAGTGATGAAGAATTACAGGTTCAGTACTAAATGTACTGAGATTGAGATACCTGTGAGACATCCAAGTGATAGGTAAAATGGACTCAACGCTTGGAGGAAATCTGGGCTAGAGATATAGATGGGAGTATTTGTGCATTGATGGTAATTGAAGCTATTGGAATGGACAGAGAATGGGAGTCCAGACAAGTGTCAATATATTGAGCAAGAAAAGAAGAGGTTGCCTTGAGGAGCCCAAACATTTCAAGGTTGAATTAAAAGGGAAAGGGCCATCAAAACGCAGTGAAAATAATTTATCAGAGAGGTGGGATGAAAACCAAGTAGCATCAGCCTACATGTTTATGGAGAAGATGAATGCAGGAGAGTTCTGAGGAAATAGTGCTGAATCCCTCCCTTATCAGCAGAACCCAGTGACCCCTGGCAGTGTATCTGCTGGGTACATTCATCCTGGGCTGTAGAAAGCAGAAATACACTATTCCAGCCCCCAAATACATACCCTCATTGCCCTGATGCTTAGTCTTGGATGTGAATGGCCCCTGCTGGTCTCTGTATCTAAGAGGCTGGCGCTGATCGTGACAAACTGACTGTTCATTGACATCCCATCATCCCCACCCTGCTGGCACTCTAGCCTGCTTATCCCGAAGGGACCCTGGTCATAGGAAATGATCTTCTGAGTTAGGTCCTGTGTTGACAAGGCATAAAAGTCAATCCCTTCCTTTCCTATCTTAGACATTATATGTTCACCACTCATGGGTGGGGGTTGAAGTACATAGGGGCAAAGAAGCATTAGTCATATCTAGAGTGCTTAGAGGAGACTACCTCAAGGAGGACTTCTCAACTTTCAGTTCAGTTCAGTTCAGTCACTCAGTCGTGTCCGACTCTTTGCGACCCCATGAATCACTGCACACTGGGCCTCCCTGTCCATCACAAAGCCCTGGAGTCTACTCAGACTCATGCCCATTGAGTCCATGATGCCATCCAGCCATCTCATCCTCTGGCGTCCCCTTCTCCTCCTGCCCCCAATCCCTCCCAGCATCAGGGTCTTTTCCAATGAGTCATCTTTTCGCATGAGGTGGCCAAAGTATTGGAGTTTCAGCTTCAGCATCAATCCTTCCAATGAACACCCAGGACTGACCTCCTTTAGGATGGACTGGTTGGATCTCCTTGCAGTCCAAGGGACTCTCAAAGAATCTTCTCCAACACCACAGTTCAAAAGCATCAATTTTTTGGCACTCAGCTTTCTTTATAGTCCAACTCTCACATCCATACATGACCACTGGAAAAACCATAGCCTTGACAAGATGGACCTTTGTTGGCAAAGTAATGTCTCTGCTTTTTAATATGTATCTAGGTTGGCCATTAATCTGGGGTTCCTGTTAAGATGATGATTTAGTACATCTGCTCTACTGTCTAAGATTCTGTATTTTCAACAAGTTCCCAGGATATGGGATTGCTGCTGCCCACACTTTATTAGTAATTTAGCTTATATAGTCAGGATAGCAAGCCAGAAAATAAAATAGCCATAATAATAATAAAAATAAACTGCTCTAAACAATAGAGCAGAGCTTGATCAAGAGATGGATGTGATGTTATGCAAAGCCCAGATCTGACCTCTAGGTTTAGGAACAAGTCCTCCAACAAGGTGTATGGCTGGTGGTGCCTGATTATTGTTGCTGTTTAATCACTAAGTCGTCTTTGACTCCTTTGCAAACCCATGGACTGTAGCTTGCCATGATCCTCTGTCTATGGGTGCCTGATTAATGTGCATTAAAACTGATTAAAGTGTTCCACAGTTGCTGACTTCGTGTTCCTTAGGTACTTTTTCGTTTCCTGGGTCCCCAAACACTGATTCCAGGAGAGTTTGAAGCACAATATATTTGTAAACACAGATACAAAGGAAAATTTCCATAGATTGGTAATGTCTTTAGCTGTGATTTTACTTGGCAATATAAAGGATATTCCTGGTGGCAAAGGCAATGAAGAAATCTTTCTGCTAAAAAAATTGGAATCCACTTAAGTTTTGAAAGTATAATTTTATAAGGTATGTATTATGCAGCAAATAATTATTCCTTTGTGTGTGAGGCAGCCTCAAAGAGCTGTATTTGGATCAGCAGTTAAATTCTAACATAAAATGATATAACCTCTATACCTATACAACTTTGCCTTCTGTAAAGTAGGTTCAAAGTAAAAGAAAGAGCTGAAAGAATATGGCATAAGGAGAGGCAGAGAAAAAAGAACTGAAGAATTATATAATATAAAGAGAAGCCAGATAAGGAAAATTAAAAGGAGGACTTTTACAGGGGAAAAACAATTTTATTTTATTGTAAAGACCCAAATGAATAAAAGAAGACTTTGAAAACAATTTTATTTTATTGTAAAGACCTAAATGAATAAAAGAAGACTTTGAATGTGAAGATGATTAACAAGACAAAATCATTAGCTAAAGATATTTACACGTTTAGACTCTTTCATTTTGATTGTAATTTTAATTAGCTGGACACTGGGGGTGAAGAAAATGAAAGTCTACATCATCTACTTACTCTTCAAATTGGATTCCACCTTAATTTTCTGCTCTTCAGTTCTTAATTCTCTCTATTTTTGTTCTAAGTAATCCGGTTATCAGGCTAAAGTGATTTTCCCTCAGCTAGGTTTAGCATTCAGTATTTGCATCTGTGAACCAAAAGTTTACCCCATTGCTTTAGTTTTTATTATTTCAATAGCAAAAACTCTCTGCAGGTAACTTTTTTTCTGGTTCTTTGTCTATACAGCAGGCTGCTTTGTATACCTATGACAGTTAGATGACTAATAACAAAGACTTCTATTTTTAAAACAATTATGCTCTATTTGCACAGTTTTCCACAAAATTTACTCGTAAAATTTAGAAGGCAGCAAAGCTTTAAAAATCTGTAGTTTCACTGTTTATTAAAACCATTTTTTGTGTGTGTGCAAGCAAGTTGCTTGTTTCCATTTTTCTGACAAAATATGAGCCAAAAAAATCAGTATTAGTTAATCACATCTAGGATTTATGTCTATGCGAATAAAATTTTCAAAAATAGCATTGATATAAAACAAAGCACATCTGTTTAGAATAACCTACTTTATAAAGGGTTTATCGTCAAGATATTATCTGGCTCTTTAGTAGGCTATTTATTTTGCATTTGTTAAAGGAAACAAAATTAGCATAGCTAACCATGTATTATGTGTCTCTCAGTTTTCCCTGTCTTCCAAAAGAAATTCACTTAAATAATGTGAAGTAACAACATTGGAGTGCCTTGAGGTCTGAGAATGAAAGGAGCTATTTAAGTGGTGACGATTATTATTATTATTCTGCCATGGATAAAGAGTAACAATTGGCTTTTAAAACCATTGTGGATAATTTCATTTTGCTCTCCCATACCTCAGAGCAGAGTGCTCAGCACATGTTATACACTCAAACTAGGATAACACATATACAGTGATGGCGAATAGAAAAGTAATTACCTTAGTAATTAAACAGCCCAAATAAACACTCATCATAATCATTAGCAAATGTTATCAAGGCACGCTACAGAATTCTCTTACCTGCAAGTCTTTTAAAATAGGCTGTGCTTGCTCAGTCGCACCAGTTGTGTCCAACTCTTTGACAACCTATGGATTGTAACCTGCCAGGCTCCTCTGTCCATGGGATTTTCCAGGCAAGAATACTGGAGTGGGTTGCCATGCCCTTCTCCAGGGGATCCTCTGGATCCAGGGATCAAGCCTGCATCTCCTGTGTTTCCTGCATTGCAGGTGGATTCTTTACCACTTGAACCACTGGGGAAGCCCTTTTAAAATAGGATACTTGGGTCTTTCAGGCATGGTTTATGAGTACCACTGAACAGAAGTTGACATTGATTAATTTGTTCTGTCTACGATAAACCTCTTTGAAATGCATCACACCTGAAAGACCTTCTTTAATGCACTACTGGAAAGATGTACCAATTTGTTACAGTTTAGATTCACTGCAGCCACACTGGGATTTTGTTCCAGTATTTCTTGTCTTGCCCATTTTGCCTGAGACTTGTTGCAAGGCGTCTTCAGACTCTTGCATGATAATCAACTAGAGTGCTTTCTAATTATACAGATTCCTTAAGATCTGTTCTTCTTTGGGACCAAATAAATCCAATTTGTGAATCTACTGACACTTGCTAAGATGAGGAAGGGCTGTTTGAGGAGAGAGTGGCATGGTATTCTCCAATAAGGGAACATTTCTGTCACCATCTACAACTCCCTGCCAGATGGGTTGGGTGCACACCTTCCAGCTCTATACTACCCTTCACCACTCCTATCCTAACACTTAACAACACTATGTTGTAATTTCTTGTTTAATTGGGAAGCCCCTTTTTGACTCTCAAGTCTGAAAATATGGCCTTGTGTTTCTTGCTTACTCTTAAGGCATTAGAATCTAGTATACTTGTTAGAGAAATGAATGAATTAATGAATAAATTACTTAGAAATCAGCTTGAGTCAAATAAGTACATTTTTAAAAAAGAAAAGGAATTTATCTTTTTAGCACAATGAAACAGAGAAGAAATAATAATGTTGCTAACAATGATTAAATTCTTGCTATGTATTAAAAATAGTTCTAAATGCTTTAATGGTAGTGTTTAATTCACACAGCCTTGTAAGTGAAATACTAGTACATGCATGCTCACTTATGGCTAATTCTTTGCAACCCCACGGACTGTAGCCTGCCTAGCTTCTCAGTCCATGGGATTCTCCAGGCAAGAATAGTGGAGTGGGTTGCCATTACCTTCTCCAGTGGATCTTCCCAACCCAGGGATCAAACCCGTGTCTCCTGCATCTCCTGCATTGCAGGTAGATTCTTAACCACTGAGTCACCTGGGAAGCCCAAAATAATACTAGTAGTACGACTATATTTCAAAATAAAGGAAGGTCTAGCAACTCATCCAAAGTCACAGATCTAGAAAGACAGATCTAGGACTGAAATCAAGGCAACTGGATTCCAGAACCCATGCTATAAATCATTACTCTGAGTAGTACAGGCAATGACAACGGGACAGTGTTAGGAGGAGGCAGGGGAGGGGCTAAGAACAGGTTCTGAAGGGAGCTCCTCTGGGTAACTTGCTTCCTTTTTTTCTGTGAGATTTAAAAGGAGAGAGAGAGGAAAGGAAAGGACAAGGGTACGGTGAGAGGTGGGAAACAGCTAGTTCTTCATCAGCAGATTTGTGGCCCATTCATTTTATTCGTGTTTGATTCTGTTCAGACAAACAACAATGAGTGAAAAAGTCTCAAATCATCATTTAATCCATAATTTTTTAAAATCATTTTTTTGAGTATTAAACATATGAGTTATTCTCTATTAGAAAAAGAAGTTTTCTTTTGAAAGTAACTTGAATTTTTTTTTCTGTCAAAGTAACCAACATATTCTTTGCATATATGTATGTTTCTCTCCATATGTATTTATATATATGTAAATGTTTTCTTAGTAAACCTTTAATTTCACCAATACCACTGTCATCACATTTATGTATACCCTAAAACTATCCAGTGATGTGGTAAAATAGCTAATTCATTTTTACTGATGATCATGAAAGCTTAGAAGCATTTAAGTTGATTAAGTCTCTAAACAAAAATTGCAAAACTCATATAAGTTAAAAAGAAATAACTTGATTTATTAGGCAACGGGCTTCAGGTAGAGGATGCAGCATAACAAAGGCATAGGAAATGTCATTACTTTGAAAAGAAATAAAACAACAACAAGTTTAGAAA